ACTTGTCTCATCTTGTTCTGTCTTGTACAGGGTATTCACCATGTATAATAGTTCTTTTCTTGAGACATAAAACATTAAATTGCCTTTCTTCTTTCTCTTTCTCAAACTGAGCTTTATTGGTTCTTTAGTCTTCTAGGACTTACTTAAAATTTTTAATTACATGTGAGACTAATCATTAAAGCCTCCCTGTGTTTTTCATAGCTTTCTTTGATGGTGGATCCAGGTCTGGTTGCTGAACATCCTCCATATAAAGAGAATACAGTTCCTACACTCTGCCTCTCTGTGCCATAAAATAAAATTTAGGTCTTTTGGAGTCAAGTTTAGTTTTAGTTCTCAACCTAGCTTCTCAAAATGCACAGCAGTTCATTTAATGAATATTTAATTATTTTCTCTCTGAGGGAGGATCATCAGAGCAGATAATTGCAGGTGATGTTTTGACTTTCACATGATTGATTATCATATTCAGAGATATCAGAAATACACCCCTTTGCCTTGAGTTGGAAGTAAGAATTTTGTATTTCTTTTTTTTTTTCCATGCCAGGGATCATACCCAGGGACCCACACATTACCACTAGACTCATCCCTGGCCCAGAATTTTCTGTTTAGTAGCCTTAGCAATTTCATGGTTTAGCTAATTCAACAATAGTAGATAAGTCATTTAACTTTTATTTAAGTTAAATGCTTATGAAATGGAAGAAGGTGGTAATCAAAATCAAGGTGAGTTGATCTCTAAGTTATCTTCCAACTCAGAAATTATGCTATAGTCTCATGGGAAGGAGGGTGGTACTGGCTCATCCTTCACGCCCTACTGAGGTCATGAGTTGCCCCCCAACGAGTGGCTCTCTAGCACCGCCATGGCTCCAGAGGCAAAAGGACTTAGTCCAGAGCCCGACAGCTTGCAGCAAAAAAGTGAATGGACCATTTGTTAAACTACAGTGCCATGCCTCCCAGGGAGGGAAAGGGTGTTGCTCCCTTCCCCCTCCTCTTCCCCCCCCCCCCCCACCCCCCAGCAAGGTGGCTGCTGCCTCAGAGCTTATTGCAAAGCCAGGTATGAGCTGGTGGTGATGGGGCAACTGCAGTCTCATGGGAAGGGGGACAGTACTGGCTCGTCCTTCACGCCCTACCGAGGTCATGAGTTGCCCCCCACGAGCAGCTCTACAGCACGGCCATGGCTCCAGAGGCAAAAGGACTTAGTCCAGAGCCCGACAGCTTGCAGCAAAAAAGTGAATGGACCATTTGTTAAACTACAGTGCCATGCCTCCCAGGGAGGGAAAGGGTGTTGCTCCCTTCCCCCTCCTCTTCCCCCCCCCCACCCCCCAGCAAGGTGGCTGCTGCCTCAGAGCTTATTGCAAAGCCAGGTATGAGCTGGTGGTGATGGGGCAACTGCAGTCTCATGGGAAGGGGGACAGTACTGGCTCGTCCTTCACGCCCTACCGAGGTCATGAGTTGCCCCCCACGAGCAGCTCTACAGCACGGCCATGGCTCCAGAGGCAAAAGGACTTAGTCCAGAGCCCGGCAGCTTCCAGCAGAAAAGTAAATGGACCATGCGTTAAATGCAGTGCCATGCCTCCCCGGGAAGGAAAGGGTGTTGCTCCCTTCTGCCTCCACCCTGTGCCCCCCCCCCGCCCCCCGCAGCAAGGTGGCCGCTGCCTCAGAGCTTATTGGAATGCCAGGTATGAGCTGGTGGTGATGGGCAACTGCAGTCTCATGGGAAGGGGGGTGGTACTGGCTCGTCCTTCATGCCCTACCGAGGTCACGAGTTGCTCCCCACGAGCAGCTCTCTGGCACAGCCATAACACCAGATGCACAGAAATCAATTTTGTAATTATCTGGCTCTTTGCAGAAATTCAAAATCCACATTATATGATTCTCATAACCAGCTATAGAAAACTAAGTGTTTCACAATGCCTTTTCAGTAATTGATTGTTGGGTGGGTGGGGGGGGGAATTCTAAACAATAATGGTGCATCTTTTGTCGAAATAATGAATGTAGTCAATGTAGAGAAGAGTTAAGTGGAAATCATCTGCCTCACAGGCATTGGGAGGGGTGGGAGGGGGGTTATATTAGGGTTCTTGGTGTGAAAAATGAGTACTGGTGAAGGGAGAGGTGTTTGATCATTGTATGACCGAGACTTAAACCTGAAAACTTAGTAACTTTTCCCACAGTGATTCAATAAATAAATATAAAAATAAGAATAAATAAATATAACTATGAAAAAAAAGTAAGGTGGAGTTCGTGCCCAATTCAATCAGCTAATCGGTGGCTGAATAAATAGCAGTATTCCTACATTTAAAAAAATTATGCTATATACTTTACTATTAAAAGCAACTAATAACTTATAATTGCTAGTTAATTAACAATAATTATGGGTTTTAGAGGTGAGTATATTTGGAACTAATAAGATTAATTACTGTGAAATGTATTGAAGTACTATCTTCCATGTGCTGAATGCTGGTTACAAAAATAAAGCAGATAATCTTTTTCAAAAAATTATGTTTTGCTCTCCAGTCTGCCATCCACAGTGGACCCATTGCCAAGATACAGATTTTGGGGAAAATAGTCTTCCCCATAAGGGAAAAATAGTTTTTTAAAAAAGACTTTTACTCTCGTTTGAACCCTTGCATACGATAAAAAGATGTCAAGGCCAATATCCAGGGTAAGGAAGAAATTTTGATCAGCAAAGATTGATCTTTGCTGGTAGGCAACTTGAAGATGGATATACTTTGACTACAACATCCAAAAGAAATCCACTCTTCATCTCATTTTGAGAATTTGGGGTGAAAGAAATCTTACACCACTCCCAAGAAGAATAAGCATAAGAGAAAGAAGATTAAATTAGCTGTCCTGAAACACTACAAGGTGGATGAGAATGGCAAAATCAGCCACCTTCGCTGGGAATGTCCTTCAGGTGAATGTGGTGCTGGAGTTTTTATGGCCAGCCACTTCAACAGACATTATTGTGACAGACGTTGTCTGACATACTGTTTCAACAAACCAGAGACAATTGCCAGTATGGGTTAGTAAAGAGCATGAACTCTAACATTGCTAAGTTTTGGTTCATTGATTAGAGTGATTTTAAAGCATAAAAAGATTATGTTTTATTGAGAAAAAGAAAGGAATAAGTACAAGTGCCTATTAATGGAACTTGTACTTATGCATCTATGGAAGTACTTTGGTACAAAAGGGTTTGGTGTCAGTAGCTTGAGGAAGAAGCCAAGGATCCCAGGGAGCACTTATGGATAAAAGAATGAAGAACAGCACTTCCAGAGAAATGGTAGGGCTAGCAACTGACTGTAGAAAGTAACGTTTGGGATGAGGAAGTAAAAACTGGGTACAGAGGGTTGTGTCCCCCAACACACACACCCATCCCCACCCCATGTGCTAGAGTCTAAAGAGGAAATAAGTGATGAGGAGAGTAGACAGGGGTGATTAATAAAGACTTTTTGTCTTTAAATATAGGCCTGAGGGGCCATTTAAATGCTTGGGGGCAGGGGGAAGAATCTAGAGAGAGAAAGTTTGATGGGAGATGGAGATGGGATTCAGAGCAAATCTAAGCACAAGATTAAGGATCGATAGTGCAGTTGGATAGATAGATTGATAACAGGTTAAAGCAAACTCGTTCGTTGGGGCATCTCCATGGGAGATGAATGCTACAGTATAAAGCCTGCTACTTTTGTGCTTGCGTGAAAGTTTATTGAAAGGATAAAGAACATCAGTGATGTGGAATTGATCAGAAAAGGGAGCACTTGGTCCTTGTTACAGCAGCAGATGGTAGAAGTTCAAGGGTCAAGTCTTCCTTTGTGAAATAGGAGCCACTCCCACCTGCTGAGGCAGAGGACATTAAGGAGCTCTGAAGAGAATGAAAGCTGGAATGACTTCTCAGTAATAGGAGGGGTCCATGCCAACCTGGGCTAAGGGAGGAAGTCATATTATCTAAACGGCAAGAAACAACTGTGTCAAAGACGACAGAAGTAAACCTTTCAAATCTCTTGGTGTGAAAGCAAATGCACATTTAGTTGAGGGAAATAAAGAGATTAATCTATGGAAGATATTCCTAAAAAATTAAATGTGGAAATTAACAATAGTCCATTTAATCCACTTCTGGCCATTTCCCGAGAAAACACAAAAATACTAATTCAAAGAGGTACTTGCTTTCCCATGTTTACTGCAGCATAACTTAGAACAGCCAAGAACTGGAAACAACTTAAATGCCAGTCAACTGATGATCAGCAGCTGAAGATGTGGTACATGTACACACTGGATGTGGTATTTATACACACTCAGCTAGAAAGAAAAAGTTCTGTCATTTACTACAACACGGATGCAACTAGAGTGTGTCTGATGAAGCCAGAGAGAAAGACAAATAGCATATGATTACATGCATATGTGCTAAGTGGAAAACATGCAAACAGATGAACGAAATCAAAACATCATGGAAGCTTTTGACTGGAAGACCAGTTAGTGGTTCTAGGAGAGGTGGGGAGGGGGGAGTTAGAACAACAGGCGCTGCAGTGGGAACTTAATATAGTTATTGTTTGGTTGGTGTATTTCAGTGATGTAGGCCTGAAATTTATGTAATAGAGTGTTTCAGTTAGAAGATCAGTAAAGAAAAATCTAAATGTAATTTTTTTAAAAAAGAAAGAAGCAACTGTGAGGTTCCTGTTCTGACAGAGTGAGAGGACACAGTTGTGATGGTGTGGAGTACCCCCACATCCCTGTAGTTCTTGGGAGACAGCAAGGGTCATTTAGGAAAGCAGAGGGTAAGTTGAGTCCCAGCAGACTATGCTGTGTGCCCTTGGTGTGCCAGCTCTCTGTTCTGAAACAAGTCTCCCACTCTGATTCTTTGTTGGACTGTGTGGGCTTCAGTTTTCTACCTCACTGTATTTTTACGTGAATAAAATCAATTGTTGTTGTTTTAAATAGTGCTTTAAAACGTTAGTATGATTCGTACAGTTCACACAGCAAACATTTAGCTAAGATTAGTTTATTTCCTTTGTCAGGTAAAAGAAGAACGTCCCGAAAAAATACCTGATCTGAAATTACTGGTGGAGAAGAAGTTTTTGGCTTTGCAGAATAAGAATTCTGATGCAGACTTTCAAAATAACGAAAAATTCGTACAGTTTAAACAGCAGCTGAAAGACCTAAAGAAGCAATGTAAGTCTGCATGCTTTGCTTTGGTTTTGCCTTTGAAATTAGGGAGCTGACCTGATGCATAGTCCCAGAAAGCTGATTTTATGAATTTGCTTATCTGCTTGGCTTGATCCTCTTTCTAAATTGCTTTTTATTGTGGTTTGCAATTCTATATTTTGTCTAACTTTTGGTTCAAATCAGCCTGCCCACTTTCGAAAGCCAATGGTTTCCACAAAGTGCTAAGAAAATCCCCCAGTTGCTAGACAAAATTACACCCTATCATTTCATTTCTGGGGACGGAATTGGGAAAATCAAATAAAGTGTTAAACTATTTTGTTCAACTACAAGTTCTGTCCTTCACATTTTGAACTACTGTGCCAAGCTCAAAATAACCACATTTTGATTCTAGTTTTGCTGCAAGTAAGTAGTAGCAATGTTTGCTGAGGTTTTTCTTCTTTGTTATGAACCCAGATCACTTTGATTCCTTCTTTGTGGTTGTGTGGAGTCCACGTGAATTTTTAATCTATTGCCTTTATCATAACTTTTTTTTTGTTGTATTCTTTTTTTTAAAAAAAATTGGGTTTTTTTTTGGTGAACATAGTTTTGATGCTTAAGAATTGAATAATTGAGCAAGTAATTTTTTTAAAACTGAAGGCTCTCCTTACCTTCATTTGCATATGCATAGATCAAGGCTGTTGACCGAAATAAGTTGAGTTCATGTTCATATTTGTACTTAGCGTAGGAGTTTGCATTTTGAAATAGTCCTTCTTTTAAATATAAGCATTTTTTCTAAAATTGATGCTGAGGTCTCAAAAAGTGACTGAGGAAGCTGCTTTACTTTTGTCTATTTTACAAATAACTTAAGTTTCACAATTTGGAAGGTTTTGCAATCATGATGAGACTTTTGCTTTTACTGTTGATTTAAGCATTTTTTCCGCATCTTAAGTTTATTTTTTGTTCTTCATTGAAACATCATATTTACCAAAATCATCTTTGTCATTTTCCCCAAAAGGTAACAATCCCCTCTAAACAGATAGTGAATGGTTTGCTAGAAACTTCCTATTAAAAAAAGATGCTAGCATATTTCAGTTTTGACACTGATCAAAATAACCAAATCTATTTGAGACCAGTAATTACAAATTATAGTAGGTTTACTCCTAATTCCTGATTTTTAAAGGCATTTTAAAATACAAGTTTAAGGACGAATATACACGCATATAAATTTCTTATCCCTCACTTACCGTTTTCAGAAGTACTATTTTATATGAGAAAACTAAAGGTTTAAGAATCAATATATTAATGATGAAACACTTCCTAATTAAGAATGTGTAACTTAGGGGCTGGAGAGATAGCACAGCGGGTAGGGCATTTGCCTTGCACGCCGCCAACCCGGGTTCGATTCCCAGCAGCCCTGAGCACCGCCAGGAGTAACTCCTGAGTGCAGAGCCAGGAGGAACCCCTGTGCATCGCTGGGTGTGATGCAAAAAAGCAGAAAAAAAAAAAAAAGAATGTGTAACTTAACAGAATGGTAAATGTTGGAATCATGATTATTGTTCTTGAATTCTTTCTAAAGTTGAGGGAGTGGGGACTTTCCCAATGCCAGCAGTACAGATCATTTAGATATGCAGTGAAGTCTTAGGACAGAGTATTTATATTTAAAGAAATACTGCTTTATAAAACGGTTTGTAGTATATTGTAAGACTGGACTTGAGACAACTTTCCCTTCTGCTGTTTTTCCTAAAACAGTCTTTGGAGTTCTTTAATTTCAAATGACAAAATGTGAATTACTAATGTCGTCAAAACACTGTTGTCCTCCTGTTGTTTATTGAGTTTGCTCGAGCGGGCCCAGGAACATCTCCATTTTGAGACTTGTTGTTATTGTGTTTTGGCATATTGAATATGTCACAAATAGCTTGCCAGGCTTTGCTGTGCAGGCGAGATACTCTCGGTAGCTTGCTGGGCTCTCCAAGAGGGGCAGAGGAATCATTTGGCTGGCTGCGTGCAAGGCAAATGCCCTACCACTGTGCTATTGCTCCAGCCCGCAAATTATTAATACTTTTCTTTAAATGCTCTATAAGATGCATATAACTTACTTAGCAAATGTGAATTTTTTTGTGCATTATTATTTACGACTGGAGCCGTAGCACAGCGGGTAGGGCATTTGCCTTGCACGCAGCCAATTCCTTCGTCCCTCTCAGAGAGCCCGGCAAGCTACCAAGAGTATCCCATTCGCATGGCAGAGCCTGGCAAGCTCCCCGTGGCATATTCGATATGCCCAAAACAGTAACAACAAGTTTCACAATGGAGACGTTACTGGTGCTGCTCAAGCAAATCTATGGACAATGGGAGGACAGTGCTATTATTATTATTTACATTGCCTGTTAGTCTATACCATGTCTAGAGGATTTATTTCTTTAGATTTAAACTGCTCCATGGGGGGGTTAGAGTGATGGTATAGCAGATAGGGCATTTGCCTTGCATGCAGCTGACTCAGGTTAAATCCTGGCATCCCATATGGTACCTCAAGCACTGCAAGGAATAATTCCTGAGTGTAGTAAAAGTAAAAGTAAAGTAAAGGCCCTCCCGTTGATCGTCGATTTGCTCGAGCGGGCCCAGTAACGTCTCCATTGGAGACTTTGTTGTTACTGTGTCTGGCATATCGAATACTCTCGGTAGCTTGCCAGGCTCTCCGAGAGGGGCGGAGGAATCGAACTCGGGTCGGCCATGTTGGCCGCTTGTAAGGCGAACGCCCTACCCGCTGTGCTATCGCTCCAGCCCTAGTCCTGAGTGTAGAGTCAGGAGTAATCCCTGAGCATTGCTGAGTGTGACCCTAAAACTGAAAAAAGAAAAAAGGTTCTGAGGATGCTGGTTAGCTTTGGATTTTATTCATTATATAACTAAATCCTCTGTTTCATAATGGAGCTAATCGTCTGTTTTGAGATATGTTCTGAAGGCTAAGCATTATGGTAGTAGTTTTTATTTTTAAAGATTGGAAAATACATTCCAAGGAGCGATCCTTACTTCAAGTTGCTTATTTTAGCAAAGACTAAAATATTTTTGCAGTATGTACTTATTTGAAAGGTTCCTTCATTAGAATAGCGGGCATCACATTTTCAGCAGCTTTATTATCACAACCATATATTGTATGGGATTAACATTTTATTACACCAAGATTCTAACTTTTTAAAATGCCAGGGAGCTCTTAATGGCAGAGAGGTTTGGGTTAGGCATTAAAATCATATAGTCTGGTGTGTAGACCTCAGTCCCTTGGATGGCCTTCAGACACTCTGCAGACAGGAATAAATCTGTTACTCAGCCCCAGCTTAGCAGCTGCTTCTCAATCTGTCTGTGGTCTCAAAATCCCTTTACATTTCTAAAATTTACTGAGGCCTCCCAGAGAGTTCTTGTTTACGTGGATTATAACTATTATAGCTATTGACATTGATCTCATTAGAAGTCATAACTGAGGGATTTGATATATTATGAAATATAACTATATTTTCTAAGCAAGGAAAAGTTAGTGAGAAGAATGGCAGTGTTCTACGAAGAATGGCAGTGTTCTACATTTTTTGCAAATCTCTTCTATTTGTGACTTAACAGAAAGCAGCTGGAGCCTCCTATTTGGCTGTGTTCAGTCTGTTGGTACATTGTTTGGATTGGAGTGTGCACAGAAAATCTGGCCTCACACATAGGTAGTTGGGCTTAATAAAAAATCTTGCAGACTCACCAGAAGTTTTCACTTTGAAAACCACAGACATGAAACCATGCTCACGCACCAAATCCAGTCTGCTTACTGTTTCTTTGTGGCCTGCAAGCCTAGAGTGGTTTTGGCATGTGTAACCTGTTGAAGGGGAGGGAGGCTATGTAGAGAAGAATACTTGAAACACGAAAGTTACATAAAATTTAGATTTTTGTATCCAAAAAACAAAAGGAAAGAACTGTACCTGCCCCCAATCTTAACCATCATTAAAAATCAGAGTAGATTTTTGTCATTGTTTTAATTTCAAATCTTTCTGTAAATACCATACATTGATCTGTAGTGTGTTTGGAACACTTTGAGTGCCTATGGTATTTGAATCATCTGGTACTCTGATATAAATAAAAGACAGGCCCTTTATTTGGAGAAGGCAGTATGCAAACAAAGTAATGTGAAAACCTTTCATAACAACTATCAAAGCAAAGCAAAGAGAAACATATCGGAGACAAATGTTGTACAATGTAGGGCAAAATGAAAATTAGAATAGTAATGTTTATCTGTGGGTTGAGTTGCCAGTCTGTGATAGGAGATACCTAAAGTTATATCTTAAAAAAAAAAAATTCCAAGGCTGGGAATAGCTCAGTGGCAGAGTGTACTGAAGAATTAAGATGGAAAGGGAAGGAGTAGTACAGATACCTGAATGTATCATCCCTAGAATACAAATCTACTTGATGTACTAGACTCATCCAAGGACATGATTATGCTAAAGGTGAGCTTTAGTTGTACTTAGTAAATTTTTTGGAGTAGTTGTGTCTTTACATGTACTGTCAGGAATTAAATCCAACTTCCTTGGACAGATAACTTCTGTGTCCTGTATTATTTAGGGAGATTATGTCTGCTCTAGATTCTCTGGGATATTAAAATGAGGTTAGTGGATGTTTGCAGATTCTGTACGTTTATATTAAAGTTATAATAGAAATATAAATACATAGCACTGTAGCACTTTCCTCCCATTGTTCATCGATTTGCTCAAGTGGGCCCAGTAACATTGTGTGACTTCTTGTTACTGTGTTTGGCATATCGAATACATCACAGGTAGCTTGCCAGGCTTTGCCGTTCGGGCGAGATACTCTTGGTAGCTTGCTGTGCTCTCCGAGAGGGGCGGAGGAATTGAAGTCGCATCAGCCAAGTTGGCTGTGTGCAAGGCAAATGTTCTACCTGCTGTGTTATTGCTCCAGCCCATAAGTATGTAAGTTTTTTTTTAATATTATATTAAAATATAATATCACGATCATGATCATCCTGTTGTTCGTCGATTGCCTCGAGC